AGCATATTTCTTTAAGAATAAATTTATTTGATAAAAAACTATATTTCTATTGCTTATAGAAACTGCATTGGTGTTTCTGATATATTTACCCTTAGGAATCATTCTGACAGTACATTTAAGTTTTCCAGATGTTTTTACCTGTCATTCTACCAAAGCAACAAAACCATGTCTAAATGTAAAATGTGATAACAATGACAGGTGACAATTATTCCCTAGATGGGCTTAGAAGTAGTTCTAACAAAAATACATATATGAAATAGTAAGGGAATTAAGTTATTCCAGTTACAAAATCAATTAAGTCACATAAGTATAATATACAGCATGGAGAATACAGTCAATAATATAATAATTTTGTTTGGTAACAGATGGTAACTAAATTTGTGGTAATCATTTTGTAATGTATAAAAATACTGAATCACTATACAGTACACCTTTAACTAATATAATAAATCAATTATATTGCAATTAAAAATGTATAATGATAGCTATCTCAACTGCATTTAATCCCATCTACTTTGTTTAAATAGACTAGTTATAAGATACCTCTCAATACCCACATACTCAAGAAAGTTACTACATACATGATGTGAGGATAAACAGAATTCACATTTTCAAGGAAACATTCTGATGTATTATATATGTGTGTGTAAATATTAGTGGCAAAGATTGGTAGTGTGCAAGAAAGAGAAAATTATTTGATACTAAGATATCATACAAAAAAAGGTATTTTACAAAATACTAGGTATGTCATTTCCTTTTATAAGCCTTTTGCCAGCATATGTGCTTAATGGCTGAGTTGTGTTCGACTCTTTGCGACCCCATGTATATGCAGTCAATGCGCCAATATAAACTTAAAATATATCTTCCTAACTCATGTCAACAAAGATCTCAAATTATAACTCTAATGTTTCTAATGAATCCTGTAAATACTTTTAGAAATAAACATAGAATTACTGATAAATTATTCACTATTCAGAGGCAAAAAGAAATAGAATCATGATGTGCTTTTGTTTTCTGGCTGAAAATCTTGAAAATGTCTATTTTCATTTTCACTGATTGCTGGTACTATTTGATCTAATAAGACCTTCCATTCAAATATATAGGAAAAAAAATATACACAAACATGCACATGCATGCAAATATAAGGAGAAGAGCATTTAAGCATCTCAGGGTTCCTTGAAGCACTTTAAGACAGCCAATTATGATAGTCTAATTTTGTGGCAGTCAATGAAAAATTCACTTTTTTTTGACCCCCGCGTCACCACATGAATGGTCATTTGTTTCATGGCCATTTTCATTATTATCTGAACACCATGTTATTTAAAGCTCTGTCTACAGAGTCAGGAAATGAACAGTTTGTCCCCAGGTAGCTCTTCATCTTATGTCAAGACAGAAGAAAAATTACTTTCCAGGAAATCACTTATATCTGCATTCTGATATCAAGTTTTACTAATACAATTTTGAGTGGACCGTTTTTTCCCCTTTGTTTTCTTTCTTTTGGTGATATAGCATAGTTACATGAAGAATATTTATTTAGGTTGAATCAGTTGCTTTTCCACTAGATATATCTCAGTGTTTTCTATATACTTTAGTTTCTTTCAAAATTTATGTTATGATTCCATGAGTCATCTTCTGTTTATTTTTTTCAAACTTACTGGTTGTATAGCTATTTAAAACATATTTTTCCATTGGTTATTTGTTTTCCTCGCACTCTCTTTAATAACCAGTAAGAATTAATTAAGTTACAGAATCTTCCATAGCTTCCTTGAGAATCAGTCAATTTTATGAATTCTTACACCTCTTTATATGCACATATTCTCTACTTGACTGAAGTACTCTGAAGGCAAGGATCAAACTGGTTTCATTTGAGAAGACCCAAGTCCTTGTATTTAGGCATGAAATATTTAGAGAAGTAAATAAAGAGAAAAAAAGAAAGGAAGAGGGAAGGAAGGGAGGGTAGCAGACAGGGAGGAGATGTATTTTTTTTTAAAACCTCATTTTAAGTTAATAAAAGATTAAATGGTAGTTGCTGCCACTTACTCATTTTTATTTCCCTATTTACCTTTGGTCACTCTTACAGAAAATCAGGTGGATTTATATACAAACTTTGGCATTGATTAAACATTGGTTTCACCTGTCCTTACAATAGACTAATCAATATTAGCAAAGTGACTCAAATGAGGAACCATGATACGCCATTTCTGTTCATCTGACAAAAAACAAACTTAAAGAAAAATTAAAAACAATCAGCAATCTTTCTTTCAGATAAAAAAAACTCCTTGGTTTGGTATTTTTGTTCAGTTGCTCAGTCTGTCTGACTCTTCACAACCCCATGGACTGCAGCACTCCAGGCCTCCCTGTCCCTTGGATCTCCCAGAGTTTGCTCAGACTTATGACCAATGAGTCGGTGGTCTGGTATATTGCAGAATGTTATATGCAGGTAAACAATTGCCCTGGACAAGGACGTTCATTTCTGGTATACATTTACACATTAGATGAGCACATTGTTCGATATTCTAACTTTTCTTAAATCCGAAGCAACTGTTAACACACGATGTAGCTGTGCAGTTTTGGTAAGAGACTGTGACTTCTCTCTCTGAAATAAGACCTCACCAGGGCTGGGAATGAATGCCATGTGAATAGGAGGGATACAACAGAGGAGCAAAATCAGAGAAGTCAACGGAAGACTTCCTATTAGAAACATACACGCTGGTTCCACTTCTCTAGAGACTGCTTTTCCATGGAAATAATAAAAAACAATGAACGGAAGAAGCTGGTAAGTATTTTTGCCCTTTCCCAAGTCCAAAATATATAAATTGTATATCAAGTGGGAGAGTAATTAGAAACTAAACCAAAACTAGCATCTGCATTTAGTTCCTGAGGACTCAGTTTATGTGTGCGTGCTCACTCAGTCGTGTCTGACTCTTTGCAACTCCGTGGACTGTCACCCACCAAGCTCCACTGTCCATGGAATTTTCCAGGCAAGAATACTGGAGCTGGTTGCCATTTCCTACTCCAGGGGATCTTCCTGACCCATGGTTCGACCCCACTTCTCCTACGTCTCCTGCACTGGCAGGCAGGTCCTTTACTATTGAGCCAATTGGGAAGTTCCAGTTAGGTTACAGCATTGATTAAAAGTATCTGGATGCCTTGGCTGATACCAGGATCCCAGCTGTGCTTAGTGAAAAACACAGTCACCAATGTGCACAGGTGGACTTTAGAGTTTCCTTGGCTCAGACATAGCAAGGTGATGTCCATCTGGGGATTTTTATTTCCATTCACACTCTAGATAGAGTGCAAAAGGAGATGAGTCAGTGATTGACTGAGTTTGTGTACAAAGAGAACCCCAAGCAGATTTCAGCAGAGTAATTTTTTTCTGTGGGCTTATGAAGTAACCCTGTTAGTATGATTTTTCTAAAGAAAGCCCAGTCAAAGGTTACAGAAGTTGTTTGTGCTTCACCCTCTCTAAATGACTTGCAAATTTATTCAAACACAATATGAGGAGATGCTTTATTTGTTGAAATAACTGTCTGCAGTGTCCTGCACAAAAGGGTGAGGTACATCAAGCAGAAACGTGGATAGAAATACATTGGTTTAGAAACCCATAAATCCTGATTTGAATCTGCCAACCTGAAAGCTATGTAGAGCCTGGATAAACTATTTTTCCTAAATGCTACGTCTGATTAAGCCATACCATTAAATGACAGCTGAACTTTAACATTAATATGATATTATTTAAATAACCACATGATTTTTTTTTACACTAAAAATGATGAATGATTTCTGGACAGCTCAATTGACATAAAGTGGGAGGACTCTTTAATGAGATTTGACAAAATGGAGACATATGCAGAATATTTGTTACAGCTCACATCGCAGGGGCCCTCCCAGGGAAGCAATAGAGAATTTTTCCCTTTTTTCCCTTTTTTATTGTTTACAGGCATTGAAGCATTTCTTTCAATCGCCACTTATCTGTGGATTTTGCATTTTTCTAGGTCATTTACATATCACCTTTAATCAGAGAATTTGGTCGTTTATGGTGAATTGAGACTGTGGGTGGAGGAAAAGGAGGGATGTGTGGAGTTGTGTCAACCTGAGTTAGAAGAGCCCCAGTAACTTAACCTTGCTCCTCATCAGCCTGATAGAGAAATTACATTGACCACACTGGCCAATAGAAGACTAAGCGGACATGTCTTTGGTTGTTTTTATGAAACTAATCTCTCACTCAGCAAACATACTTTTAGCAGTATGCTTGGACACAACACATTATCTATGGACACGTGATTAGAGAAAACTTTATTTATATTCAAATAGCTGCCACTAAAGCATCAATGATAAACAAGATTCTTTTCTTTAAAATTCCAAGTCAGCTATTCCAAGGTGATTCTCAACATTTCTCATTTATATTTCTATCCACAGTTCCAAACTGAAGATAATGCTAGAAGATACTCTTATTTGGTAGATTCTGAATGTAATAATTTCATGCTGAATACACCCAAATCAAAAGTGACTCCAATTTTCAGAACAATGAAAACATTTCTCACTTCCAAAAATATAGAATCTAGACTGTTACCCACATTCATTCATTCATTTTCACATATTCTCCCAAGTATCTTCTATCAATCAAAGGCTAATTACACATACAGAACATAAACATTTGTTTGCTTACACATGAGTAAATTCAGATTATTCTGATATTCTTCAGGCGTCAAAAATCATTTTTAAGTATACATACAATAGCAATGTTTCCCCGAACAGAGTCGCTTTAAAAAGAAATCTAAATAAGGCAACAGAGGGCAAAGCTAATAGTAAGTATGCTCCTGAAACCAAAGGTCAGCATTTCATCGACAGCAAGAAGGCTATCAAAATAGAAAATAAAATCAGTCTGCTGCTGCCATGGGGTCTTCCTCAGGCTATGAAAAAATACTTTATGTCCAACCCTAATTTTTTCCATAGCTTGAGGTAACCCCTCGAGCTCAAACTTTCTAATCCAAGTTACTCAGAGTGTGTGTGTCCCTGTCCAAACAAGAGTTAATACCAGTGCTCTGTCATTTCAAAAGGGTCTTGACACAGGTACTAAGAGCAGAAGCTTGCATGTCTGGAAAATGCCCGGTTGCAACGAGATGAAAAATATACTGTAAAAAAAGGAACAGAGAGAAAGGAAGACCCTACCTGACTCTTACCTTCGCAACATCCCTGTCAGAACTCTGGAGCTTTTCCCCAAGTTAGCATCTGTTTCCCGAAGCTAGGAGGAGAAAAGCAGAATTAACACATAATAAAATGAAAGTTCAGGCAATTAGATTATTTTTAAAGTGCACTAGCAATCAATGGTTTTCCTTCATGATGGAAAATCCGATTCATAAAACAAAGGTTAAATACTTTAAAATACATTTTTGATGCCTACCCAATGTCAAAAAAATTCTTAGATTTAGAAAATTACATGTAATAGATAACCCCAGGAGCTTTAAACTGGATACTTGAACTGGATATAAAAGCAAATGTCTCACAGGTTGACAAAGTTTAATAGATATCTGGTCATAAATCAATATCTCCACCTTAAGAATGCACACAGTCCTAGAGATAAAAACTGAAACAAAATGAACTGAGGGAAGATGAGATTCATATGTTTACTTTCACTCTGAAAGACCTGCTGACATACTCCCAAATCTCCATCAACGATCTTCTTAACTACGTGCATGTGTGCTTAGTCGCTCAGTCGTGTCCAGCTCTTTGTGACTCTTTGGACTGTAGCCCTAGCCACGCTCCTCTGCCCACGGGATTTTTCAGGCAAGAATACTGGGATGGGTTGCCATTTTCTTCCTCCAGGGGATTTTACCGACCTAGGAACTAAACCTGAGTCTCCTGTGTCTTCTGCATTTCAGGAGGATTCTTCACTAGCTGAGCCATCAGGAAGGCCTCTTCTTAGCTACAGCACTAAATAAAATATCTACTTGGGGGAATTCCAGAATGGAGGCACACAGTCAGCTTAATCTTTATGCATCACACACTTCCCCGCCCCCTACCCAGGCTCTACACCCTTCTTCGCCCTAGCCATTTTTCACACATGCATGAAAGTGAAAGTGGCTCAGTCGTATACGACTCTTTGCAACTCCATGGACTGAAGCCTGCTAAGCTCCTCTGTCCGTGGAATTCTCCAGGCAAGAATACTGCAGTGGGCTGCCATTCCCTTCTCCAGGGGATCTTACATCAACGTAATTGCTACAGCCTATGCATCTGCCCAAGACCTTTTATATATATTTTTGGCTTATGTTTTTTTCTTTTACTGAATTTGTGAAAAGATTATACGATTTCTACTTACTCTTTCACGTGCTCTCTGTATCTTTTCTCTGTCGTGACTGAGGTTTTCCAACATCTCCTGGCCAATTTGTTCTATGGACAAGAAAATCTGAGTGAGGAAAGGTGACTTTGGAAAAAACCTTCAGAAAACCTTCAGAAGTACCAAAAGGACAACAGGTACAGAATTTATTGAATGCTCAGGATCAGTTAAAAAAAAAACCAATGACAAGAACCTACCCTACAGCTCAGGGAATCCTACTCAGTGCTCCCCCTAAAAGGGAAGGAAATCCAAAAAAGAGGAGGTGTGTGTGTGTGTGTGTATTTATATATATATATATATATATATATATATATATATATATATATATATCTGATTCACTTTGCTGTACAGTAGAAACTAACACATTGCTAAGCAACTCTTCTCCAATAAAAATTAAATACACACACAAAATAAAGCTCAGTGAGCAGTTTCTGTAAAAACAAACAAAAAACAATGAACTATTATGACTCCAACATCCTCCTAAAAACTGGTTCTTCCATAATCCACTTGAACTGAAATTTTATTTATCGGGGAAAAAAAAAAAATCTGTCTTTTTTTTTTTTTTTTTTCAGAACATTGTTGTTAAGAGTCAAATGAGATAACCAAAATTTTTTTGAAATTTATAGTGTACCACACAAATGTATGTAATTGTATAGTACATGAGAATCAATGCACTCAATACACTCCGTGCTGGGTGTAGATGCTGGGATGTGACCAGTAACCAAGATCAAGCCCTTCAACTCATGAACTCCTGTGCTAATGGTGATGACTTAGCAGTTAAAGGACAAATGTTATATTAGAGTTCATATTTCATGGCACATCCAAAAAAGGACTGCATATTCCTTTCATAATAGAAAATCCAAATAATAAGAATTGCTTAAATACAATAACCTCAATTATATTTTTGACACCTATACAAAACTGAAAATTCTTCACAGGTTACTCCATTTCTAGTATATCTCCTCTAAGATTGATAATAGCTTTTTATTACTGACTCCACACAATATATCCTTAAGGTAAAATTGGATATATGGTCCCAGTGGAGGCATCATAAAAGTGGAAGATGACGCCAAAAATGGAGAAGTAGGAAACAACTAGAGTTGCAATTTTCTTTTTTGGAAAACAATTACAATATTCAATTGTGTCATACTATTTGGTATTACTATTATATTGAATTTCTTTAATCAACATAATATAGCAATTTTAATGCACTTTTAACTTAAAAATCTCTAGTATCTATGAATACCATCAATACTATAATTAGTTCAGCAAAATACTATTTATATAATATTCTCTCATTCAAGAGGATGGTATTGGGACTTCCCTGGCAATCCAGTGGTAAGTGTGCACTTCCACTGCAAAGAACACAAGTTCGGTCCCTGGTGGGGGAACCAAGATCCTGCATGCTGTGTGGTGTGTGTGGTGTGGCAAAAAAAAAAAAGGGGGGGGGGGGATTTATGGTATATAAATGTCAAACAAATATGAAATAATTTATTACTGTTGTGTCTCATCACTAGGATGTTTCCAGCAAAAATTCATGGAAGGAATAAAGCAATGTGGGGATAAAATGAAAAAAGGAGTATATGAAAGGTTTGGGGGTTTGTTCCTGCTCTCAAAGCTTATCATGTGTGGCATTGGAGAAGGCAACACTGGAATGTAGGTGATAGATCCATGTTTCTATCAGGTTCACTGGAGGAAAAACTGTTCTGAATGGATCTACAGTCTGCTACTGAAGGAATCAATGGAACAAGAGGTGAAGAACTCTGGTCTTTTGAGATGTTCAAGTAATTCCCTCAATCTCTTTGCCTCCTGGGAAATATGTCAGTATCCAAGTACTAACCCCATCTAACAAAAGATGAGATATTGGCAAGAGTGCATATGTTCTGGTCTTAACAGGCAAATACCATGCATTTGTTAGAAACAGAATTCTTTAATTTCTTACTTGCTAAACCAGTCAATTCTAAAGGAAATCAACCCTGAATATTCACTGGAAGGACTGATGCTGAAGCTGCATCTCCAGTACTCTGGCAATACAATGGAAAAGGCCCTGATGTTGGGAAAGATTGAAGGCAAGAGGAGAAGGAGGTGGCAGAGAATAAGATGGTTAGATGGCATCACTGACTCAGTGGACATGAATCTGAGCAAACTCCAGGAAATAGTGAAGGACAGGGGAGTCTGGTGTGCTGCAGTTTGTGGGGTGGCAAAGAGTCAGACATGACTTGGCGTCTGAACAGCAACAACCTTCCATTTGAATCACCCACTAAAGAAAATTCTAGGCCAAATATATTAGAAATGCTGACCCTTATACAATGAAAAAAAAAAGTTCAAGCAAAGTAAGTTATGCATACTTATCTGTTCTCCTACCTCAATCAAAACAAAACAAAACAACAAATTAAGAGGGAATTATTTTAAAAATAGACTCTGTTTGCACAAAATAGACATTGAGGGATTACTTCACTAAAAAAAATAACATTGTTAGATTTACTTTTCTTGAATAACTTAAAAAAAAGCACTCACATAAAATATCAATAAGAAATACAAGAAAGACTATAAATCAATGCAGATGTGACATCTTGAGTCTAGAGCTTTCAGTTCTTTAAACTTTTGCAGTACAGTACCTTTAGAATGGGAATTGCCATACTGCCATTATTGAAATAATTTGAGAAATCATAAATTTTATAAGTACTGTACTTATTGACTGTGAGGATGTTCTGGAGATTAGGAAACAATGGGAAGCATAAAAGAAAATAAAAACTGATGCCATCAATACATGCTGGAACTCTACATGTCAGTATGAACATGATGAATGAATTCCTGGAGAGAAAAGTCTCTTCCTGCACTACTTCTGTCCTTTTCACAAGGGGGTTGGGAATCATTGTGGGAGTATAGCATTCAAATTTATAAAGTGAGCTTTTGTTTTCAAAATTACCCAGAATGAATCATCATATCCTTGATCTATGGCCTTTTTTACTGGGTCACAAACTGCAAAATAGGTTTTGGCTAACATTTCCTCTCCTTTTCAATACATTTTACAGGGGATGGGAGATAATATCATAGGTATTCAACACTCTGTTGCCCCGTAAAGGAATGGAGAAGAACCAGAGAACCACAAATCTGGCAAAATATTTCCTGAAGGACTGGACCAGCATCACAAAAGGCAGGACTTATTTTGAGGAACTTGTACCACTGAATCACTTCCCTCCATTCATAAAATAATAATGTCACCTGAACAATCATGACATGTGAATGAACTTAATTTTTTAAATGTATTGAATTTGTATTTTGGAGATGAAATATTTCCAATCAGAAGGCAGGACTGATGGAAGTTCACATCATGTTATAATATAAACATGGAATATATATAATTACATTATTCAATATAATTCACCAAAAATGTTCTATTTGATAAATACAAAATATTAAAAAAAGATGTTAGCCATTATGCTATAAAGTATATAAAGCAGAAAATAATCATTCCTTTGTACACTTATATATAACTTTCTTTTTACAAACTTTATTAAGGATATGGTTTCCAACAAAGCTTCCCTCATAGCTCAGTTGGTAAAGAATCTGCCTGCATTCGACCCCAGTTTGATCCCTGTGTCAGGAAGATCCCCTGGAGAAGGGATAGGCTATCCACTCCAGTATTCTTGGGCTTTCCCTGTGGCTCGGCTGGTAAAGAATCAGCCTGCAATGCAGGAGACCTGGGTTTGAGCCCTGGGTTCGGAAGATCCCATGGAGAAGGGAAAGGCTGCCCACTCCAGTAACCTGGCCTGGAGAATTCCAAGGACTGTATAATCCATGGGGTCACAAAGAGTGAGACATGACTGAGAGACTTTCACTTTCACTTTTACTCTTCAACAAAGTATTTAAAATTTGAAGATAGCCAGTTGAGACTTCTCGGAAGAAATCAGAAGGTAAGATGGCTTTCTGGCACTCAAAAACTTCATTAGCAATTTTAGCAACGGGGAAAAAGGCATTTGCAACTATCCAGCTGTTTGTATATGAGGATTTCTGTGAAGTGTGGAGTGAATAGAAAGACTTACAAGAGCTATATAAAAAAAAATTTTTTTAATGTGGACCATTTTTAACATCTTTATTGAGTTTGTTACAACATTGCTTCTGTTTCATGTTTGTTTTTTTGGCCATGAGGCATGTGGGATATTAGCTCCGTGCAGGGATCGAACCAGCACCAGGTCTTAACCACTGGACCACCAGGGAAGTCCCTAAAAGAGCTATTTTTGAAGCATGTGCTTTCTTATGTATATTGCAGAATGCCAACTTGACAGATGCAAAACACAAAGTAATATTTTTCTAACAATTTGGAGTACTGAATTTTGGACATGACTCAAGAAATTCTAGCAAAAAACGTATTGCTCTGGGAGAGCAAAGTAGCTGACATACAGCTTTCTCAGGAGGGAGCTGCTCACAGAGTGGCTGGATGAACCATCCTTTGGCATTTAGCACATCTGCCTGGACACTGACTCTGGCATCATGGCCTGAATGGGTTATCCTCAGTATCGATGTTACTCAGACATGAAGAGTTTTTTGAATTCCTGATCCCTGGATAGACGGGGATGTGGAAAAGGCAGATCTTTTACCATCTTTCATTATTTCACAATTCAAGGCATATAAAGAACTGCTTCCAATTCAGATGTAGAAAGACAACAAATATTCACTCTCAGAGAAATAAGAAAAATCCAGACAAAATAATTATCATTCTTTGTGGGTGATATCTGGTATATACAAAGAAATTGTGATGAATTCTAGAGAGAAAGAAGCATCTCATTTGTGAGCAAAGGGTTGTGGCAACATTCACACCCACAGTGAGTACCTGGTCTGAGTTCAGACCTCCCTCTGGGAGGCTTTTCAGGAATAAAGGGAAATCAGTGAAACATCCTGTGTAAAATGTAGGCTTACAGAACAGAATGGGATCTGGAAGAGTTCTAAACACAAAAGCAAATTGCTTGGTTTGACAATTCTCGCCCAATCTCCAAATCTCGCCATGAAAGAGGCAGTGGAGAAGGGGCTGGTTAGGAAAGCAAAACCTCAT